CGAGTAATATAAATTTGAAATTAAATACCAGCAAATTGTGCTTTAGACAGTATGTATTTTTTCATCACCTTTTTGGAATATATAGTAATCAAGTAACAACAATATATGACAAAGAAATATGGCCAAAATAATATTTCAAATTTATGAGTAAACCATGAGCTCTGAAAGTCTGAATTGTTTTTGAATCGTTGCTTTTAGATTTTAAAAAACCTATAATTCTTAATCCAAACTAACTCGATTCCTTTAATCCTAAATCTTAATTTATTGAGTACCTATATCTATATGTTATTAGTTATTAATTTATTACTTATTAGTAGTTATTGGCTTATTGCCTATAATTAACATAATATTTATGATTAACAATGTGGTTCTTAGTAGTAAAAACGTATTTTAASTATCAAGAATTTGTATTTTATTATTAATTATAAAGTATGTTTTATTTTGTATATATAATGTACATATTTTTATATTCATCACATTATAGAATTTGATTTCAAAAATTACTACGCAATTTACTTAATAACCATTGAAATAATGAATTGTATTGACTGTGTGTGTATAATATAATGCTGGGATCAAACATTTTATACAACTTTTTTAAACTGTTATTTACAAAAGGAGCATAAAAAAATCCGTTTAAAAATATTTGAATAGATTTGAGAAATAAAGTTAAGAAAGCAAAAATCAAACAAATACAGATATTTTTTATTTCAAAAAATAAATTTGAATTAATTAATGAAAATCAGTCGTTAAATCGTATCCCTGTAACTGTTTATTAAACCTATGATGTATTATCAAATGACTTTTTTTGTTGCAGCGGCGTGTTTAAATTATGGCCATTCGTGTTGGGGAGGTAATTACAACGTATCTATATAAATATATTACAATCATCAAATTAAATTTATAAAAATAAATGTTGTAACAATATAATTCTGGAAATCTAGACATGTACCTAGTTAAAATAAGTTAATATGACATTTTGTACTTCACACAGCTCATGGCAAACGCAATGTGGGCGGGACAAACGACATAGACACTTTCTTAAGATATCGGATGGCCCTTCTTAAGAAATCGGGACGCAGAGATTCATATATAGATCCAAATACAGACCAATCTCAAGAAGATATTCCGAACTATTACAACATTTTCAAACATTATTCAAAAATAAATTCGATGAAAACAAACAAGTAATAAGATTAAAATTATTCTTGAACTACAATATTTAAATKATTATCAATCATATTTGTCGTAGCGATGATACCGTTGACACCTGGAGCCTTGAACCGAACAATAACTTACCTAGTGGTAAGTCGTACTACGAAGATCAAGTCTTAGATCCCAGGATTGAATATAAAATTATGGTAATAGTTTCATTTGTACACTAAAAMGAGATATTATAATACAATTGTGAAAACAATTTTTATTTTTATATGTTGAAAAATTAATCTATATATCTTTTTCACAGAAAATATAGGCGAAGAAGTACCACAATTTATTCTATAACGTTAATAGTTAATACTTGGAGAAACCGGAAAAATTAATATTTCAAATATGTAACAATAATACCATGTAAATGTCAAAATAATAAAGATATTGAAATGTTGGTCACATATTTTAATTTATAAACACAACCTATGGACAATGTTAATGCAAATATTATTTATATTTGMTGATTATATTTTAAAACTTATTTGTTTCTGTGTACTGAATAAGAATTATGTATTTATTCGAATTTTTATTTCAAGTTTAATATGTAACAAAATCTTACTTACAATGACCTTAAAATAGTATAGATTATTAATAGACAATTATTAAATCTGTAGCACAATACTATATTTTAAAAATGCTTCAATTTCCAAATAAACAAAATAATACAATAATTGGTTTTTATTAATTTCTTTAATATTAAACGCAGCTTTATTCTAATAAAGGTTCTAAATATTAAACAWTTTTATTATGTAAATACTATATTTACCAAATCRCTAAATGCTATTATAATCGTGGCATAAAATGTAATAAAAGTAATAAATTTAATTTTTAAATAAATGAAACCTTTCATAATTAACACCGTTTAATATTGTTAATTAAATACATATCTCACATTTGGTTGGATGTAAAATGAAGGTGGTCACTGAGGGGAGTCTAAAATATATCATAAATCATATTTTTATTATCGTACCTCATTCTTTAATAACATACTTTAGGATTACATGTGCAATATTAGATACCTATTATCGACAAACATAAAATAATATGGTTTGATTAAACATTYAATTTAAACTAGTAGCTCAACCACAGTATAAAGAATAATTATTCTTTATACTGTGGTGGCTCAACTTTAAAGGAATAAATGATTTAATAATACATATTTAATTTTAATAGACACAAGATGATAAATCAAAACTAACCTTAGTATAAAACATCATATTGTATATACGTAAAGGAAAATAGTTGAATACAAGTGTGTGGTAAACATCACTCATTAAAAATAAAGTGGGTTTTTAAATTATATAAAAAAAAACATGTGCAATATGATGCAAACGTTTTAACAACAATTAATGCTTAAAACATAAAAATGTTTATGATAAATGTATAAATCAAATTTAACAAAATAATTATGTAGGTACATAAATTTATAAATAATTTTTAGTTTAACAAGTGAGCGACTTGTTTTAGAAATTATAATGAACAGATTTAAGTATGGCAGTTAACTTAAGAGTAAAGTATATTTTATGCTTATGTATATAATTATTTTTTTAAGAACAATATTTAAAATAAAACATTTGTTTGGAATAGATATCGAAATCAATAACAAGTATTACTTATCAGTTGTTTTAAAAATAATAAAAACATATTAATACAAATAATAATAGATATAAATATTATGTATATTTAACTTTTTAAATAGTAAAAAAAAAATGCTTAATTTAACGATAATTACTTCAGCATGAACTTGAGTTATTTTTTCCTATTATTCTAGATGAATCTATAACTAATCTATAAAATATAAATTCAAAAAATGTATATTCTATAGAATAAAAAGGTTTTTTAAGACTTGGACTGTATTTATAATGCATAAGTTATAGATTTATGAGGACATACATATTATTACCTATTAAGTATTTATAATCGTTTAGAGATTTTTTTTTAAATATAAACTGTTTAACTCAAAACTAATTATTTTTCAAGATTCAAAAGTCTTTGTATTTAATGCCCAAATTGTTAGGTATCTATATAATATCACAAAGTACTATATAAGTATTAATTTGTTTCGCGGTATTCTAAAAATATTTTAAGTTAAAATAATCATACTCTATGAATTCGAAAAGCTACGCATTTACTTTATATAACCATCGAAATTTCATCTTTAAATCTAAATTTCTAAATTTCATAATATGATTTTATAACTATTCAAATAAACTTTGTTACTTATAATACAAGCACATTTCGATTAATTTATTAAGCAAACATGATAATATATTCTACACAGTAAATTTAAAAAATCTAGTAATATATTTAAAGATTTCTCTATGTTTAATCAACTGTATAATATCATAATATTTTCGTTATACATTAAGTACCTATCTTCCTATCAAGTAGTAAATATGAGAAAATGTGTAACTTAATAGTATAATCATAGTTCATACGAAGGCATAATATCATAAGAAAAAAAACATTAAAAATAAATACAGAAAAATGCATAAGCGAGATAGATCATCCCCTGGTTCTCAAATAAACTAGATTAAAGTATATGTTGGAATTACTTTTATTTGATTTCTTTAGTAAGTTTAATTTAAAAATAAAACCCACTATCTGAAATAAATTATTATTATTTTATAAAGACAACACATTTCAACGATTGTTAGTAATAAAAAATCTTGTAAGATTGTTTTTCATTAATTATTTATTCAGAGAGTTATATCATTATTATGTACGCCACTACAACGGAAATAATAATTGTCAAATGCGATTGACATCTACCAGCTGCTCCCCATCCACATTCAATGTCGTTTTTAAAAGCTTCGGCTAGTGGTTTTTTCTTATCTGCACAAGCAGCCATCTCGAGATCTTCGTCACTGATGAGACACGTAGACTTACTAGTAGAATAGTGTTCAACATCTCTATATCTATTTGAAGGCGCTGTCGACGGATCTTGGTGATTGCACAAAAATTGACGTTTTTTACGATGCCAGACTTCCATCCAACTAAAATACATAACATACGCACAGTCAACACTATATGAAAAGCTTAACTCACGTCAACAATTGAGAAAGGCTACATAATATAGGCTATATCAAAAATATAGGTCTGTTTAGAAAAATTTAAAATTCGAAAAATTTTAAGCCAAGCTGCGCCATTTTTCTGAGGTCAAAAAATCAGAACATACCTACTTAGTGTTTGTATTCACACATGTCGTATCTCTAGAAAAAGACTGGCACAACTTAAAATACATCAATTTTATGGCTACCTACTTTCGAATAGTRAAAAATGTTCAACATAATCATTCAATATCATTTTTCATTCAGCATTTAAACCACTAAAAATATTGTCCAGTATTGAATTATTTATTTTTTTAGCTAATTTTAAAAAAGAACCACATTTACCTTAAGGTAGTATACTTATTTTAATTTATTCAATAACTCATGAAAGTCAAATTCAAGACTACCTCATTTCGATTTGTGGCATTCTTGCACTACATAAAAACTAATTTTCGTGCGATATGTTTAGTGCTATATAACAACTTTTGTACACAACCACTTCTCGAAATATGGCAATCTTGAATTTACTTAAAAAATTATTAAAGGTCRCCAATCTAACTTTTTGAGTGTAAAAATGTATAATATTTTAAATATTCATATTGTATAATATGTTTGCAATTAGGTGTTTGAGTTTTCGATTTCAAACACATAAGTAAAGAATAATGTAAAATATCTGAGATTTAAAAAATAGTTTTTCTCAAAACAATTAGTGTTGAGGCGTGACATTCTTGTTCTAGCGGTGCAATATTGTGTTAAGTGTATCTCACAAACTTGATTTTTTAATGATTTCCAATGCCGATAAATCGGAATTTCAATTAAACGAAAAAACATGTTAATTTTTAGGTKCTAACAGTTACTTAAAACACACCCTGTACCATTATATTACAGGCTACAGCATAATAATAATCATTCCTCTCCAAAACGTAACTTTAATCATATTTAGTCCTCTCGTTACTCCAACCTTCCAAGAAATATTACATACTGTTTTATAGGAACTGCACACAATAATACAATATTATTGCACCGTGATAGTAACGCTACACAAAAACCAAAACCGATTTCTTAATAAAATGTCTTTTCAAGTAAGCACACAAACTTTTGTAACGACGCAAATCATATTTGCATGTTGTATATTTACAATTTTTCATACAGAACTCTAAAATTTAATTTTTAGGCAACTGTATTTATGAATACATTATACATATCAACATGTATTAAATTGAATGATGTAAGTATAAGCAATTCTGTAAATTAATGATTACAAAAAATTAAAAATTACCCAATACTACAATCACAGGTCCACGGGTTTCCAGAAACTTTTAGTGAAGTTAAAAATGTTTGGCCATGCTGTTTTGGTAACGCATTAGTGGATGGATTTCCTATGGACTTCAACGAATTATTTCGGATATCTAAACTGATGTTTCTTACAGATCCCATATGTCGAAAAATTTCATTCGATATTAAGTCCAAGCTCGTATTGAAAATTGTCAAATTCAAATTTGGATATCTCAGACCCTAAAAATAATTTTCTATTTATTTAATTAAAACACTTACAATAGTCAATAAGTCATAATTTTAATATACTCGCTCAGATTGTATATCTGTACCTGAAATATATTATTTGATGTAAGTCCGTGTAAAGCTTTTCCACTAATTGTGAAGTTTCTTAGCTTATATGGAAACACACCAATTAATTCTTTCCCCATTCGTGATAATTTATCAACCTGCAATCACATAAGATACCTATAAAATAATTGAAATATAGTCGTACCTAATCATTAGTAACTATTATTTACTATACATATATACTCATAATGATACCTATGAATAAAATATTGTAAGAACATTATAACCTTATGATCATTTTTATGGTTTTATAAGTCAGTGAATGATATGTTCATAATAACATAATGGAAATTAATAAACATAATAGTACGATCCGTCGATCCCTTAAAAGTCCTAATGTATTTTAATTTGACTGTTTTTGATTATCGATACATTTATTTATTACATCATTTTCAGCATAGAACTTAACATGACTATGACGTAATTATTAGCTCAAAACCTTACTTAAATTTTTTGATAAAATACACTTTAAAAAAATAATCAACTTTTTTATTTTAACTAAGAACCATATATCCATTAATGTACAGTAAGAATATTAGATAAATGCATTTGCTTGAATGAAACCCTTGGTTAAWGAAGCCAACCATTAATAAGAGCTTCAAAAAATAATTWTTTTTTTTATTTTAAAACAGGAAAATATAATCTTCTTATGCTTATTATATAATCAAATTTATTCATTTTCCGT